TAACAGATTATAATTTGTGTCCTTTAGTAAACAGATTATAATTTGTGGCCTGCCATTAACAGATTATAATTTGTGTCCTTTAGTAAACAGATTATAATTTGTGGCCTGCCATTAACAGATTATAATTTGTGTCCTTTATATTATAAGAATGACGTTTGTGGTTTCAGGAGTTCTTTCATTACTCTCTGGGAGCTGTCCTCATCTTCATCGCCTCTATCGTCGCTGCTGTCAAATGTGGAGGAGTCTCAGCTCTGGTGGTCGCATCGGTACGTCCCCTCAACTCACCTGTCCACAGACAGGACACATGACGTCCACAGACAGACACCTGACGTCCACAGACAGACACATGACGTCCACAGACAGACACATGATGTCCACAGACGGACACATGACGTCCACAGACAGACACATGATGTCCAAAGACAGACACATGATGTCCACAGACAGACACATGACGTCCACAGACAGACACAAAGACAGGACACATGACGTCCACAGACAGACACATGACGTCCACAGACGGACACCTGACGTCCACAGACGGACACCTGACGTCCACAGACAGACACATGACGTCCACAGACAGACACATGATGTCCACAGACAGACACATGATGTCCACAGACGGACACATGACGTCCACAGGACACATGACGTCCACAGACAGACACACGATGTCCACAGACAGACACATGATGTCCACAGACAGACACATGATGTCCACAGACAGACACGACGTCCACAGACAGACACATGACGTCCACAGACAGACACATGCTGCCTAATTGGTGGTTCTGGACTTGGACCCAGACAGATCTGGGTGGTCCTGCTGGAGGTTTATGTTGAGGCAGGACTGACTTCACTTTGTTTCCTTCAGGTGTTTGGGTTCATAGCTACCTTCCTGATGGTTGTTAACCTGTGGACGTCTTACAGCGTGGCCTGTGGGCCCCAGACAGGTAGGTTCTGACCCACAACAGCTGGACAGGTTGACTTTATTTATTAACAAAATGAGCGTTTAAACTTCTGATTAATTTTTTAGCTTAAATTTCAACAACAGAAACAGAGCTGGTTTTTATTTACATTCTGTTTAAACCAGAGTTCAGACAGAATAAAGACAGCTGTGTTTCAGAGCTAACAGGCATAACAGGACGATTTATCTGAAAACAATAAACCCACTGTTAGCTTGTAGTTAGCTAACTGTTAGCTAACCGTTAGCTAATAGAAACATCCTCTGATAATCAGACATGTGAGCTTCCCTCACATGATTCTACTCAACCTTGTCCCATGATGCTTTGCTCTCCCTCCAGAGTCTTAAAAACAACCCAACGGCTGAGCTGGCAGTCCTCTGAGTCCGGCTCGACTTTCTGCCTGGCAACCATCTGAATCAGCAAGCTGATTGGACGATAAGCTACAGCGGTGCCAGAGGTTCTGATCCAGGATCAGCTTCAGTGTAAATATATGAACATATTTATGGAGCAGATTGGACTGAGCTTTATCATTTCTGACTGAATCATTTCACATTAAAGGTGCTCTGTTTCTCAATCACGTCACACAATGATGACATCACTGCTGCAGGATGGAAGCATGTTCCAGTGTTGCATTTATTTTTTACTTCATGTTTTGGTGCCACACATTGGTCTTATATTAAAAACTTGTCCTTTGTATTTAAAATTCTTACAACTTAGTAAAAACACTTAATATAAAAGTGTTTTTATCATTCAAAGTTACTTTCCCTAAATGTGAAGCAGGAAAACACTCGTTAGCGCTCTAAGCTAACTCACTGTCCTTTTTGTCCAGAACAATAGAACCAGTTAAACTGTAAATAACTGAATTATTTTAAAAAATCCAGATGTTAACAATTAAAAAATTATTAAAATCTGAACTGCTCTTAGCGGCATTAGCAGCAATGCTAACAGTTAAAACTGAACTGCTCTTAGCAGCATTAGCAGTTATGCTAACAGTTAAAACTGAAGTGAATAAAATCCAAACCAAGTAGTCTGAGCCAAACTGAGTCCAACAGAATCAGTAAATTCACGTTATTTTTATTTAAATAAAACATGTTTGCATGATTCAGAAAATGATGCATGTTTCAGGAAACAGCTGAAGGTTTGTTTGGGTTAAAAAGTTAAAACATAATAATGAAACCACAGATGATAAGTGAAACTTTAAACAGATTATAAAAAACATGTTTTATACAAAATATGTTTCTGTTTTGAAATAAAAATTTAAAAAGCTTTAATAAAAGCATGACTGTTACACAGATTAAAAAAAAGAAATTGTTAAAATCTAACAAAACCACCTGAATTGCTGCATCTCTTCACAGATAACTGATTAAGCACAAACTAAGTTTTGGAAAATGCTCTCGAGTCTGTGAGACCTGACAGAACGCTGTTTGAGACCCGACAGGACGCTCTGGGAGACCTGACAGGACGCTCTGGGAGACCTGACAGGATGCTCTGGGAGACCTGACAGGACGCTCTGGGAGACCTGACAGGACGCTCTTTGAGACTGACTGACAGGACGCTCTGTGAGACCTGACAGGACGCTCTGTGAGACCTGACAGGACGCTCTTTGAGACTGACTGACAGGACGCTCTGTGAGACTGACTGACAGGACGCTCTGTGAGACTGACTGACAGGACGCTCTGTGAGCCTGACTGACAGGACGCTCTGTGAGACCTGACAGGACGCTCTGTGAGACCTGACAGGACGCTCTGTGAGACCTGACAGGACGCTCTGTGAGACCTGACAGGATGCTCTGTGAGACTGACAGGACGCTCTGTGAGACCTGACAGGACGCTCTGTGAGACCTGACAGGACGCTCTGTGAGACTGACAGGACGCTCTGTGAGACTGACAGGACGCTCTGTGGGACTGAGACCTTACAGAAAACTTTAGCTCTTTCTTTTTCTGCTGCAGCTACAGGATCAGCTGAAGGGTCTGAAGCAGCTGCTGATGGTTGAAAGTCAGTGAGATAAAAATGTTTGTCAGAAGTTTCCTCCTGAAGCGTTGGAGCTCACAGGTTTTTACTCTTTCATCTCATCTTCCTCTTCCTCACTGCTGGTGTTGTGTTGCTGGTTTCACTTAGTTTCAGCTGGATGTTGAAAGCTTCGGCAGGTTCATGCACTGATAGAAACTTTAGCTGCTGCTGATGTTTAGCTGTTTATCTTATGTGACTTGAATATTTGCGATCATTTGAAGTTTTTATTGAATGTTTTGATATTTCCAGCAGTGTTTACAGGATTTTAAGCCACCTGTCTCAGATCTCATCACACCGGACTGTTTACATGTTTCTGTGTTTTTTTACTCAAATGATTTCATGTTTCTGAAGATTCTGATGTTTAAAACAAGAATAAACTGAATAAAACCCACAGAAATCTGACAGTTGGTTGATTTTTGTGAAGATGTTTATTTAAACCCTCCTGGTTCTGGTCTGTCTGCTGGTTCTGGACCCTCAGATGCTTCTTCACTTCTTCTAACAGAACCAGTTTGGTCCAGGTTCTGTTCCTCCTCTCAACACTTCAAGACGTTCTGATGATGAGGAGACGAGTGATGAAGAGGTTCAGGAGGTGGTCCAACAGTCCATCAGCTGTGCTCCTTCAGAATAAAAGCCTGAATCCTGGTTTTATTTCTGATGAAACACAGAGTTGATGTTGTCATCTGGAGGAGCAGGTGGTGTTTGTTGTTTTGTTTGTTGTAAATAACAGCTGCTGCAGTTCTGCAGGACGCCACCAGGTGGCAGCATTGACCAGCATCAGAACTGATCCCAGACCACAGACCGGATCAGAGGTCGAGGTTTCACTCTGTTATACCACAAACAAACGGATAAACAAACAAACAGATAAACAAACAAAATGATCAGCAAACCTACAGAGCATCCTGTCAAAAACAAATCTACTCAGATCAGATGAAGTCCTGCAGGAGACAGACCCAGAACCTGACCCACAGAGACCCCACCCTCCTCTTTCTCACATCATAACAGCTGAAGGGCCACGTAGCCCCGGTCAGACCTGGACTCAGACCTTCAGACCTGCTGCTGCAGGACTCTGCAGGTCTGGTTTCACTTCCTGTCTTCATCAGGAGGGTAGAGACAGAACAGATGGACCAGCTCCAGTCCAGCCTGTTCTCCTAGTCCTGATCGGTGGTTCTGTTAGAAACACTGATGTCTTCAGATCCGGTTCAGGGTGTGATGGTTCAGGTTCTGAAAATTGAAATGTGTCGGGTTAATCAGAGTCCAGCTTCAAACTACCGCTCCCTCCGGTTGCCTAGCAACCAGGAGTCAGAAGAGAGGAAGCCTCTCAGGGAGCATCAGGGTTCTGACGGGACCAGAACTGGACCGAGCTGAAGTCAGAAGACCTGTTTACCTTCACTCAGTGTTCTCTGTCAGATCCACAAAGTTTGATTCAAACTGAAGGACCACCTGGAAGACTGACAACAACGATCTGACCAATCAGAGCAAAGAGGGGAGGAGCCATGACTGACAACAACGATCTGACCAATCAGAGCAAAGAGGGGAGGAGACAAGACTGACGACCAATGATCTGACCAATCAGAGCAAAGAGGGGAGGAGACAAGACTGACAACAACGGTCTGACCAATCAGAGCAAAGAGGGGAGGGGCCAAGACTGACGACCAATGATCTGATCAATCAGAGCAAAGAGGGGAGGAGACAAGACTGACAACAACGGTCTGACCAATCAGAGCAAAGAGGGGAGGGGCCAAGACTGACGACCAATGATCTGATCAATCAGAGCAAAGAGGGGAGGAGCCAAGACTGACAACCAATGATCTGACCAATCAGAGCAAAGAGGGGAGGAGACAAGACTGACAACAACGATCTGACCAATCAGAGCAAAGAGGGGAGGAACCAAGACTGACAACAACGATCTGACCAATCAGAGCAAAGAGGGGAGGAGACAAGACTGACGACCAACGATCTGATCAATCAGAGCAAAGAGGGGAGGAGCCAAGACTGACGACCAACGATCTGATCAATCAGAGCAAAGAGGGGAGGAGCCAAGACTGACGACCAACGATCTGATCAATCAGAGCAAAGAGGGGAGGA